TTCTGGATTAATTCTATCAACAACTCAATTAAAATCCAAACTCATTGTAGGTTTCCTAACCAAAAAAGTTTTTAATACATACCTATGTATTATGATTATGACCCATTGATGCACGTTATGTGAACCAATTATTACATTCATACTTACATATGAAATGGTATATTTAACTAATGTGTTAAACTTCTTTGTCCTTAAGTTTATATTAAGCTAATGGGTATCAAAATTGTAAGATCATATATGCATAATAGATAGTTTCCAGAAAGAAAATAACTCACTAATAAGTTATTGAATGTTGTCCAGTATTTCATGCAAGTGGCATCACAAATTCTTAAATTTTTAATGGGTAAGTTTCGATGACCATGTGCGAAGCACAAGAATCAAATATTTCTAACACATTATGAAATCAAGTTAGATTTGTATTGTAAAGGATTTAAACCTAACTATTGATATTGTATTGCACATTGAGAGTATGAACCATAAGTTCAGGATAATCAGGTTAATGCTTTGTCAAATTCTGTCCCTTCTAGTGAATATGATCCTACTAAGTTTGAAGAAATGGTATTCAATGCAAACCACGTTTAGTTTGCTGAGAATGTGCTTGATAATAGGCCACCAAATAGCGAGGCACAAAGATTCTATGATTTATAAATGTTGCACAACAACTATTATGGGAATGTTACACCGCACATTCAAAGTTATGAATAGCTCTTAGAATATTGAAAATTAAAACATATTAGAATATGTCCATAAATTATTTTAACCATGTTGCAGTATTACTTAAGGAGAAAAACCAAAAGAAAAATTTAGTACCAGAGGACCTGTATAGAACAAAGAAATAATGTCAAAGTTAGGGTTGACGTTAGAGAAGATAGTTAATATATTAATGGTTGCATATTATATTATTGGGTTGAAGCAATTGAGATGTAATGCAAGTTTTATGGTGCTGAGAGGTTCAAACCATAGATTTAAAACAGTAAAAAATAAAAAAAAATATTCCATACAAGTGTCATTTCTGCTTGCCGCTCTTTCCCATCTTAAAACATTATTCTCCTTTATATGTTCTACTCTTCATATAACATGGAATCAGAGTAGATCAGGTTCAGTTCCTTGAGTCATTGATAGCAAAAACCCTTTTTATATTCATTGAGCCAGATTTTAAATCGCGGCAATTGTTAGCACTGAAAATGTATTTTTCAGTGGTTTAAAATATTTTTATTCACTTTTTAAATATTTTTAGCAGCATGTTTTTAAATGCGTCTTTAAATAAGTTGTGCCAAAAATTTTTTAGCAGCAAAGATAGATATATTAGTTAATACTTCTTTTGTGCCTGGTGATCAAACGTGGGAGATATGATGTAGTTGTCAAAGGAGATGCCCAAATTCGGTATAATTAAATTGAATAATAAGTATAATAATTTTCTTCACATATAAGGTTAACTAAATTTAATATGCTTACATAACACTATTTTTCAACTATTCATATATGCAATGCCTAAGATTTCTTTTTTAATTGAGAACCATCATATGTTTTTAATATGTACATAAGAAAATAACACACTATTGGTATTCCCCGTTACTGTTGTAGTCTTTTTAACAATCTATAGAGCCATGTTCTGTTATATTCTATATCAAAACTTATATTGATATTGAATTCAGATTTTTCCATGGGCTATACTAAAATTTTACTAGTAATAAAGAAACGAGAGAGAAAAAAAGGGATTGAAGGAGGGGAGAGGCCTCCAAAGAAATGGAGAGGTTTTCCAAGTGATGTCCTAAGGCTCCTCTCCCAAAATAGAGTGTTGATTTCCTAACTTTTAACCAACCCTCTCCTTGTTATAAATAAATCTTAAGGTGTCTTTTACTTTGAACTTTCATATAAGATTTGATAGGAATTAATTAAAATGTTTTGTTTCCCACAGCTTTGTATGAGTTGTGGGTCACGAGCACTGATATTTAGAATTTAGGAAATTTGTAGTGACCAGCAAGTATCATTGACACTTTAGAGGATAGGAATTTTTCTTAGAACACCCTGTTCAAATTTTTCTTAGAATATGCCTTAAAATTATCAGATTGCTTTCAAAAAACATAAAAGTTAAAAAATAGATATACTTTTACTGCAATCTCAAAGCAAATTCGATAATTTTAAGATAAAAAAATTGAACTCTAAAATCAATCTTGAATAAAAATTTAATAGATGAGAATATTTTTGATTAAAGCTAGTCATTAAGCAGTCGACAACTCAGCACATACAATAACATATTTAAGATTTAAAATTTACAAAATTATCACTATGAGCTCATAGCGGATGTTGGGGAAAATAATGATGTTTTCTATCAAGATTCTATGGTTATGTCATCTCGAGATGTCGTGGTCACCGACCTACTTAGTCAAGGAGGATAATCAACCAAACTTGATAGATGAATCCTTCTCATAATCATCAATTGCTATGTCTAAGAAAACCTTGTAGACATGCAATGAATATTGGTTTAAGTGGACTAATCTAAGGTGCCCTCAGCTCATAGAGGGCTTTAGAAACCTATCAAATATATCCTATGATTCATAGCTCAAATGGAGCAAAAAACCATTAAGAAACATATAGGTTATAGCAGTGACCATAATATATTGATATTATTTGGGGGCAAACATCCGATCATAGTTACCTAGTTGTAACTGTTTCTCATGATGTCATTTGACAACAAAATGAGGTAAAAAGAGGATTTAAACCATGTATTTACTAGCACAATGTTATTTTGAGTTTGAATTTAGTAATATAAATGGCATTACATTTGCTCTATTTAAGATTAAGTTTACACTAGATTTTTCCACCCTAATAAATGATGGTGGAGAATGGATGAATTTGACTCATTAACATTTTAGTAATTTGATTTTTTATTTAAATTATTTTTTCCTTAGATTTTATGGTTTGAAATTTTATTTTCATGAATAGAATCTCCGGTTGAAATTCATGATAAACACACTCAGCGCCAGAGAATTTGAATCCTTGGAGTATTGATATTTGATGTCTAACTGGATCTTACGATTCAAACATTACTAAATGCCAATCCTGTCAACTCCTCCTAGTGAAGAGGGGGATCAAATTAGTTTAATGAAGAAGATTCATTCTTGTCAACCCTAATCACTATAGGAAGAAGGCTCATACTAGCTGAATGTGGGACTTACGACATTACCCTTAGGCATTGTAGCTCATTTGAGATTGTATACGATTTAACATTATTTTTTTAATTTGACTTATAGAAATAGGATTCTTCTAGAGTTTTAAAACACATGCAAATTTTCTGAAGATGAGGGATTTTGACACTTAATTTAACTTAAGCCCGTGCACTAGAAATTAAAATAGTAGAGACAAGCGACGAAGCACACATGAATATTAAGGCTTTTGAAATTGAAATAACTTTTAAGGAATTTTATTAATCTTTGCAAACTTGTATTAAGAGTGAAATGCATATCAATATTGTTCTAAAAAAAAAGACGGCAATAAAGTGAAAAATCGGATCGAGAAATTGCAAACTAGAAAATAACATACAGATTTACGTGGTTCTATTAATTTGTCTACGTCCACAGAGCTGTAGAGCATTTTAGTACTTCAAGAAATTATACCGTCGAGCGCCTCAACGTTTAGAAGAAAAACTTTATTTCTTTTTCTCTCTCTTTTTTTCTCTCTCTTAGTTCTCAAGAGGACTTGACTTAGCACTTATGACAGACCAAAAGAGGTTATTTAAAGAAAACAGGAGAGAGGTAGGTGGAGAGAGGTAGGTGGGAGAGAGGTAGGTGTGACGCGGTAGGTGAGGTAAGTAAGTCACAGGCTTCATATATTTAACAATTTTCTCACTTGAAGACTGAGATACATACTGCACCACTTATGGGCTGCATCATCTGCTGATTGTACCGGCCTTTTCCTTCAAACATGATATTCTCCACTTTCCTCTACCTCTGCAACTCATGGCTCCTGTCATCACGCTAGAAGACCAACTGAAGTCGAGCACAACTTCAATTTTTCAAGAGTAGCACCCCTAATCAACATATCAACGTCAACATAGCCTTGTACCTCCAAGTTCTTTCCTGAGTTACTCATACATTTGCTTACAACTCTCCACTGCATGGGCAATATCCTGCCTCAGCTGAAAGCCCTTTTAAACAAATTTAGTCTTATACCACTTATTTTCATCACTTGTTTTGTAATGTCTTCTTCTCTGGTGGAAGTTTTGTCAGCTCCAATTTGCTTGAATTTTCATTTTACAAGATTTCTTCATAGTTCTGTGGTTCTCCACTATCTGTCTGTGGACAATAAAAATGGGTGTCCCGGACTCACTCTTCTCTTCACTTTTATCACTTCCCTGCACTGTGGCCTCTGGTAGATCAATAAATTTTACCTTTGTACAGTAACTAGAGCCTCCAAGAGATGCCACTGGAGAAGATCCCCATACATCTACATCTGTGTGTACATGATCCAATTTTGCTCCCCTTGGCGCTCTGCCATCTTTAAAGAAACTGACATTCTTATCTTTCCCCACAATTCACTTCTGACTCATGCGTCCACGCATGAGTAAACATGTAGTCATATATAGTGTGTCAGTTTTCATACTCCGAGTCAGTATTAATACTCCTTTGGTAACATTCAATGTATTTTTCTGAGAACATTACTGAATGACCCCCCTCATTGAGCTACATTCATAGAAATTTTGTTATATTCTATATAATGAAATGCAAGTCCACCCTTATCTAAACAACAAACATTTCTCCTCTTCCCGAAACCCTCTCCTACAACTAGGGTCGAGCTTGGGCGAGCCCACTTTTAACTTGTCCAATTTATTCAAGAATAGTTCATGTTTAAAATTAGTTGTGAATAGTATCTTTATATTCACCCCGATTTATATATTATCTTCGGTGTTCGGCTCAAACTTGATCCGGTTAAATTAATTAAAAAAACTGATTTATATTATTTGACCGAAAACGAGATAATTCGAGCCTAAAACACACTATTTTTGACAGCCACATACGTCACCACTTCTCTCCCGGAATCGTCCCCGAAGGCTCTTCCCTCTCTGCCCAAAATCCTCGGTTTTGTCCCTTGCCCCTTCCCCTCCGAGTTTGCCCCAAGACCGCGGAACCATCGCCTTCGTTACCAAACCCTCGCGATACAGTCGCGATTAGAGCTAATTGGGAAACTAATGGAAGCATGTTTTTTGAATTTCGTTTAGATAGCAGGCTTGTAGATCATTGTTATCTCGGTTGTTGTTTGCCGGAGGAAACTAATGGAAGTGTGAGATTTCTAGTATTTCTCACAAATTTTAGCTGTATGTCTCATTTAATAGGTTATATAACGGATTTTGAGACCTTGTTCACTACTTTCAGTGTTGCATCGGCTCCCGGGAAGGTTCTCATCACCGGCGGATACCTAGTTCTGGATAGACCCAATTCTGGGCTCGTCCTTAGCACGAATGCCCGATTCTATGCAATAGTAAAGCCTCTGTACGAAGAGATTGAACCCAAGAGCTGGGCATGGGTGAGTGCTGCATTCTTCCGTTGGTTACATCATGATTTTATCTTTGTTCATCCATGATCTTCTGCTTGGTGGTGAATTTAAGTTTGAGGAGAAGTTATGTGCAACCATATTTGTGCGCGTTGTATTTGAGATCTTCATGTTATTAGACAGAATTTCATGTTTGATTGCTAATTTCTTTCTTTTGTGATTTTATTTTCCTTTAACTTTTTTTCCTTCTAATAACCCCTTCTCTCCCAGTCTTGGACGGATGTGAAAGTTTCATCCCCGCAACTTCATAGGGAGGCCACATACAAACTATCACTTAAGAAATCAACGCTTCAGTGCACTACCTCAAGGCAAGTTCATAGAGTTGCATTCAGTTTTGCATCAAATTATTCTACATCGTTATTATTCTTTTAGTTTTGCGAAAAAATATAAAATAAATTATCGTCTTTGTACTCGTGATTACAATTAAGATGCATGGATTTAAAAATTTTCCTTCTTGCGCATGTAATGGAGTAAGGTTTACATATTAATGTATTGATATAATTTCTGTTAGTTTCTTGTTTTTTTTTCTTTATGAATTTGCAGTTAGGCGTCATATTTCTAGCTCCTGGCATTCATTTTTCATGATAATGTCTTGCCGCAACGTGTTTGTGTTAATCAAACATAATATTTTGATTAGTTAAGAGGATATGTATCTTCATTCCTGCAAACTGTAGGATTTTCTTAGATCTCTTAGTTCCAGCCTATGGATTTTGTTTTATTCATCTCAAAGTTCTTTTTCTCCATTATGAAGATTTTGTTTTATTCATCTTATGTGGATTTCAGTGGTCATTTACAAGGCAAATCTTGCTGCTTCTAATTTTTTGTGGTATTAATAATGGTAATGTCTGTATTAGTAATGATTTATTGTGGAATACTCTTCGTAGAGCAATTGCTTTAAAAGTGTTTTCGTCATAGTCATGGAACCATGTGAGAGGATCATTTGCATTATAGTTTCTCTCAAATTTCTGCACATATCAAATTGTGAGATATCATTTTGCTTTTATAATCAAAACAGCTGGGCCTTCATCAGCAAATTTTAGTACTTATATTCGTGTTTACTAGCACCTTTGCTATTTTTGTTCATCTCTATTTGAAATCTATCCCAATTCGTGCTACTTCTTTAAGCTTATGAATTGTTTTTGTTCATCTCTATTTGAAATCTATCCCAATTCTAGTTTGAATCAATGAAGTAGCCTTAGTTTTTTAATGCAATATTTGTTGGAATATCATCTTGTATAATTTGTTATAGGAATTAAATCTTTTCAAATGTCTACTCTATTCTGCAATATTCTACAAAATTTAACATGATCTTTTTTGTTTGCATTTGGAATTCATGTTGTACTATTTCAGGAATTCTGTGAACCCTTTTGTTGAGTATGCAGTGCAATATGCGGTAGCAGCTGCTAGGGAAATCTTTGTTGAAAAGGAGAAGAAGGATGTGCTACAAAAGCTTCTACTGCAAGGCAATGTTTGTTATATATGATAGTTTAAGTATGCATGTTAGAACTGTCAAGAGTAAAGAACCTTTGAATCATGAATTCATCTAACTAATTTTATTTTATTTTATTTCTTGCAGGTCTTGATATTACCATCTTAGGAAGCAATGCCTTCTATTCATACCGTAGGCAGGTACTTCTATCATTAGCCTTTACACAACTGTTTGGAGTTGGTTTTATGAATTCTTAATGTCCATTTATTTCTATGACATGCTAGTTTAGGTGTAAACTTCCTATTCACAAATCATTTTGAATAAATTCTATTCGTATTATCTTAAAGTTTTATCATTGTTGCTTTCTTATCCTTCGACACATATTGTTATGGTGACTCCCAATTATGTGAACTAAGACAAGACCGTTTTTATAAGGAGGTTTAAACAACTAATGGGTACAACGGTCATTTGACTATTTAAAGGTGTTTAACCGGTCATCTTATATGGGTCATTGGTCTATATATATATGTAATGATGTATATGAGTTGAGAAGGGAGAGAGAAATTCTGAGAGCAAGTTGAGGAACCAAAAAAGCTTGTATCGAGATCAAGATCGATAGAGATCTTGGAATCAAGAAAGCTATCGAGGTTAAGATTGATAGAGAACTTGAGGAGATTGTTTCGTCCTTGATTTTGTGCGGTGTAACCTTTCAAGATTGTCTTAGTGCATTGTTTCTTGATTCTTTCCCGTAGATGTAGGTCCTATGGACTGAACCACTTAAATTCTCGGTATTCTTGTTTGCACATTTTTTTTTACGGTTTTCTTCCTTTATTCGTTTCCGCTTTGCTGTCTTGCTGCTTTCTTGGCAACAGATTTTGCTACAATTGACGCCGCCTGTGGGAATTCTAGCCACGACAATGTGATATGCTAAGTTCAACATCGAGAAATTCACTGGAAAGAAAGATTTCGGCTTATCGAGAGTCAAGATGAGAGCCTTGTTGGTGCAGCAAGGTGTCGCAGAAGCAATGCAGGGGCCTGCGGCATTGCCGGCCGAGATGTCTGAGAGAGTAAAAAACAACATCTTGGATAGAGCACAATGTGATAATCTTGAGCTTGGGTGACAAGACTCTAAGGGAAGTGTCAAGGGAGACAACGGCTCAAACCTCTCAGGGCTAGGTGAAGGGAATCTCTATTATAGAGTTTTGTAATTGGAAGTCAAGGTGGAGATTTGTTATGGTGACCCCTAATTATGAGAACTAAGACAATGCCGCGTTTATAAGGAGGTTTAAATAGCTAATGAGTACAACATTCATTTGACTATTTAAAGGTGTTTAACCAGTCATCTTGTATATGTAATGATTTATATGTGTTGAGAGGGTTAAGGGAGAGATAAATTCTGAGAGCAAGGCGAGGAACCATGAAAGCTTGTATCGAGATCTAGATCGATAGAGAGCTTGGAACTAAGAAAACTTGTATCGAGATCAAAATTGATAGAGAGCTTCAAGAGATTGGTTCGTCCTTGATTTTGTGTGGTGTAACCTTTCAAGATTGTCTTAGTAAATTGTTTCTTGATTCCCTCCCGTGGATGTAGGTCTTATGTACCGAATCACGTAAATTCTCGGTGTTCTTGTTTGCATTTCTTCTTTGCGGTTTTCATCCTTTTCCCTTTCTCTCTTTGCTGTCCTGCTGTTTTCTTGGCAGAACATTCTGCTACACATATTTTATCTACTTGCCTATTGGGTGCATTTTTTAACCTTTCATTGTATGCTCAAATTGTTCATGTCTATTTTTAACTACCTTATATTCAGTAAATGTCATTCCGGTCATCTTTTTAATATAGCGATTCTTTAATTTATCTTTCTTACTATCGCCATATATATTATTATTAGTATTATTTATATAGCACTTAAATTAATGAATTTTTATTATCTAACATTCGGATCTGTACAACATGGCCAACTTAATTTCAACTTTTAAAATATGCATTTGCTTTGTTATGTTTTGAACTTCTGTTGGTGGAAAACATCCAATGTTCACAAGTTAATGGAATACTTTAATTGTAGGCTTGAGACTTGGATGTAAGTTTATGGAATCCTTCTAATATTTTTTCATATCCTTATAATATTGGTTATATAACTAGAGATTGATGGCCAATATTTTGCATTGTTTGATTGATGAATGAAATTTTTTTTTTAGGCTAATTGAGTGTGCTCGAAGTCCAAGTTATTTAAGGGAACTGTTTATCATTTTTCATGGAGTTCCTCCCTCTTCTCCCTCCTTCAATGCCTATGCTTGATTTTTTGAACTATAATTTTCTCTTTCTTTTTTGGGTTAAAAGAGCATTCTATTTGCTTTTTAAAATTTCATCCTAAAACTTTAGAACACTAGATCTTTCTAACTAATTCTTTTGCAGATTTACTATTACTGCCTAGGTGTATTCAGTATTTTTTTGGTGCATAATACTGTACATGTTTGAATGTATGGTGCCTTCTTTCTACACTATATAAGAAATCGTACTTGCTTGGTAACCGGTGCCATCTGCTGTTAATTATATTTATGTTGCTTCATTGTTGAATTTTTATTATCCGTTGCCTTGAGCTTTCTTTATTTTAATTTCCCATTACCTTATATTATTGAGCAGTTCATGAATTTGCCTAACTTGGATGGTTTAGTTTTCAGATTGAAGCACGGGGGTTACCTTTGACAAAGGAAACATTGGCAACGCTTCCATCCTTCTCTTCTATTACATTTAATGTCGAAGATTCTAATGGTGCAGTTTCTGGAAGTTTCAAACCTGAAGTTGCGAAAACCGGATTAGGCTCATCTGCAGCAATGACTACATCGGTTGTTGCGGCGCTCCTTCATTACTTTGGGCTAGTCAAACTTCCATCTTCATCTAATTGTCTGACTGAACAAGAAGCAGCTGTGTCAAATATTGATATGGTGCATATTATAGCTCAAAGTGCTCATTGTTTAGCTCAAGGAAAAATAGGCAGTGGATTTGACGTTAGTGCATCAGTTTATGGCAGTCAACGTTATGTTAGATTCTCGCCTTCAGTTCTTTCTTCTGCTCAGGTGATTTACACTTCTATTTGTATGTACAGGGACAGAATTTTCTCATGTATTGAATCATTTCTTTGACCTGCTTTACAATGTCATTATTCTAGCGGTTATTCAAGAAAATTTTCTTCGTTGAAAGTATGACTCCTAAATAAGCCTCGAATTATTTATGTGACTGAAGCACACCTTTTATTTGCATATAAGGACATTTCAACTTATATATTTTACAGACTTGATGTGATTCAAATAAGATGCATATGAACTACCGCATGGGGAATAAATTTTGAGATGGTATAGAAATGTGATAAGCTTGATATTATCTGAAATATTTGAGTTTTAAGACTACTATCTCTTAAAGCATACATTCAATTGATTTTTTTTTGTATTGCTTCCTCTTGATTTTATGCTTTGGAATGGTAAGTTAAATTTACATGATAAACATGACTATAATATCGAATTTCTTTCTGCTTTATTCCGCATATGTCTCTCTCCCTTTTTTCTTCTTTCCCTAGTTTTTTGTTTTATTTAGTTAATTGGATGAGATGGTGTTGAGATTTGTATCTAATGTATTGTCATATTTGTAAATAAATGAAATATAGGGATTTATTTGTAAATATACCTTGTAAGACTCTATATAAGCCCATCATGAATGAAATACAACAACAACAACAACAACAACAACAATAATACCTTTATCCCACTAAGTGGGGTCGGCTACATGAATCCTTTTCTTCCATTGTGCCTATTTAGTGTCATATTTTCATTTAATTCTAATAAATTAAGACCATTTTTTATATTCTAATATATTTTCATTTAATTCTAATAAATTAAGACCATTTTTTATACAATATGCCAAAGTCTTCGTAGGTCTGCCTTTGCCTTACTTAACATAAGTTGAATCTAAAACATCTACTTTTCTAATCGGATCATTAGATAGTCGATGTTTATGTGAACAAACCATCTAAGACGACTCTCTAATTTTGTCCGTCACTGGAGCTACACTAACCCCATCAGGGATAAATTCATTTCATATTTTTTCTAAGTGTAAAGCCACTCATCCACCTAATCATTCCCATCTCAGCAACACTTTATCTTAGTTTAACTTAGTTTTATGCTTCTGTTTTAAAGGCCAACATTCAGCATCATAGAGCATTACAGGTTTCACCACCATCTTATAAAAGTTTTCTTTCAATCTAAGCAGTACTTTTTTGTCACACAATAGACCCGAAGCATTCCTCCACTTCAAACAACCAATTTGAATTCTACTAATAACATCCTCATCAATCTCACCATCACTTTGAATAATTGACTCGAGATATCTAAAGCATTCACATATTTTAATAATTTGATCATCCATAGTTATATTTCTGTCACTAGAGCTACAACTACTAAAATTACATTCCATGTATTCAATTTTAGTTCTACTCAAGTGAAGGCTTTTAGACTCCAAGGTAGACCTCCATAATTCAAGTTTTTGTTGAGCTTTTTCTCTCGTCTTATCCATGAGAAAGATATCATCAACAAAAAGAAAACACCATGGTACATCCTCCTGTAAGTGTCCAGTAAGACCATCCATTACTATACTAAAGCAAAAAGCATCCATTACTAAAGCAAAAAGATATGGGCTTAAAGCCGATCACTGATGTAAACCAACATAAATAGAAAAATATTCGGTCAATTCTCCTTCTGTTTGAACGCAGGTAACAACTCTTGTATACATATCTTTAATGACTTGAAATAAGTTACATCAATATCTTTCTTCTCAAGAACTCTCCAAAGGATATCTTTTGAAATTTTATGATAAGCTTTTTCTGAATCAATAAAAATCATATGTAGATCCTCATTTTCTCTGAACTTCTTCTTCAAACCTCTCAATAAATGTGTAGCTTCTATAGTAGACCTGTCTGTCATAAATCCAAATTAATTATGGGAAATCTTTGTAATACGTCTTAACCTATGTTCAATTACCTTCTCCCATAATTTTAAAGCATGACACTTCAATTTAATTCCTCTATAATTTATACACTATTGTGCATCCCTTTTATTCTTAAAAATGGGACCAAAATAGTCTTCCTACACTCCTGAGAAATCTTTTTAATTTTTAAAATAATATTAAAGAGTTTAGTAAGCCAAGAAACTCCCAAATCTCCTAAATATTTTCACACTTGAATTAGAATATCATCAGATCTTATAGATTTTCCACTCTTGATTTTCTTTAAAGCTCATCATGAGTGAAATGAAGTAGATTTTTTTGACAATAATTTCTGTATGGTATCAGAGTTTAGCCCTACCAGTCGGCAGCTGTCATCATCGAGATCGACATGGTGATCGTTGCAAGCAGCCGCGACCGGGTGCGTACTTCCTTCTGCTTCGTCATCGCGAAGCAGTCGAGACTCGCTGGGAAGGCAACTACAGGATCACAACTATCTGGTAAGGCAATGACGCGATTGCGGCTTGCGGCTCACTGGGAAGCACGGGACTGCGGCTCTCGGGGAAGGCAACGACGAAACTGCGGCTTGCTAGGTGAAGCAGCGATCGATTCTGTCGTGCGATCGACAGAGTCGTGTGAGACTTGCCAGTGGACCGGCGATCGATTCTGTCGTGCGATCGACATGGGAAGCAGATAAAGCTGCTCGACCCTTCAGCTATCCAAGTGACACAGAAAAGACGACGGGAGAAGCTATCCAGGCGCGACGGGACACAGAAAGATCACGACTCTGTTAGAATCCAAGCGCGACGGGACACAGAAAGATCATGACTCTGTTAGAATCCAAGCGCGGAAAAGAAAAGACGATCGTGACTATCCTAGCGACACAGAAAAGACTGACTTGAAGAAGCTATCCAAGGCGGCTGTCTTGCGGAATAGAAAAGACAATGTGGCTCTGTTGTGCGGGAAAGAAGATCTGGGCAGTGTGGTCTTGTGTGCCGGACAGAAGCAAGTCGTGTGTTCTGCGGGCTCTAGATTTATCTTGGTGATTGAGGATTCGTGGAGACGGAGAGAGTTCGAGAAGTAAAGGATTGAAACTTTAGGGAAGATAGATCTTGAAGTTCTGAGGTCTTGATCGAGCTCATTCAGGGAGCTAGCATCTCGACGGAAGCTACTATCTCAGCACGTGCTCCGATGCAGGTTAGACTAGATCTCCTTTCTGTGGATCGGAAGCTCGATGAACTGACCACATATCTGAGTTGGTTTTCTTGGATCGAGATTGCTCTAGTAGGGAAGAGATTAGAAGGATACCTGACAAGGGTCATGCCAAAGATTGATAATGTTGAGAGGGATGAGTGGATAACAACACATGCATTGATTTACACCTGATTACTCAATTCGATGGTTCTGTCAATTACGAGATCAATGGATGGCATTCAGAAGGTGAATGACATCTAAGCGAAGCTGAAGAAAACCTATGCTGCGACTGAGAACCGCATGAGGGTGTTTTAGATTCAACGTGAGGTAGAGGCAGTGGTTCAGGGTGATAGATCGATTAATGAGTACTCTATAGACTTGGAGTGGCTGTGGCAAGATCTTGATCACTTCTCGCCTATGTCAGAGCGCAAGAAGGGAGAGAACTTTGCATAGACGAGAACTATGAGATTCTGACTCCTTTAAAACTTACCATTGACCAAAGGAGATCAGTTCTTCTAACTCAGGCGACTATTCCTACACTAGATGAGGTCATTGCTGCGATGATACAGGAGGAGAGTCACATAAAGGAGAGTCACATAAAGCTACAGTTTGAACCAAGTGGGTTTTTTTGTGCACGATTAACATTGGCTACTGCTAGCAGAGGTACGTTAGGTATCGAGTGGGAGACTCGCAAGTGCTACAACTGTGGTGAAGTTGGATATCTGAGCGGGGTCTGCTATAAGTCATCTAAGGAGAGAGAGACAAGTGGATGTGGACAAGGTGGAAGCCGTGGTCGTGTTCGTGGGGGCTGAAAAAGTGGAAGAGGGGGCTACCGAACAAATCTGATGGTAGCAGTGGACGAGAGAGAGAGGTGTGATCTTTACTAGTGAGGATCATGGGTGTCTGGAGCTATTGAAGAGGAAGCAGAAAGCAACGGAAGATGGAGCTGAGGATGTTTCAAATCCATCGACATCAAGTGGTAACATTGTCACTTATGCTCGCTTCAACAAAGGTACTGGTGACATACTTGCCTCTATATCCATCACAAAATCATCAAAATGGATCATAGATTCTAGTGTTTCTTGTCACGCTACAATTATTGCCGAAGTGTTTTCTTCATACACTCATGTAGCAGTACCAAAGAGTATACAGACCGCTAATGGTACAACACGATTTGTAGTTGGTAAGGGTACAATGAGATGTACCAATCATATGATTTTGTTCAATATTTTGCATGCTTCTTTTCCAGCAAACCTCTTATTCATTAGTATCATTATTCTCCAGCTAAAATGCATTGTTTCTTTTGATATTCCTTAGGCGATCTTCCAAGAGAAAGGGGCGGGCTGAACACTTGGGACGGGAGCCTGACATAACAAACTCTGGTATTAGGATCTCGAGGGAGTGGACTTAGCTCTAGCATCAATGGTGGAAGGGACTGCAATAGGAGAATTTGGGAGGAACTTTGAGGATGAGTTACTGTTACATCACAAATATATGAGACATTCTAGTCTTAATTTACCAAGTCTTGTTGTGTCCATCTATGTATGAAAAGACAAATAAGGAGAAATTGGTGTTTGATGCTTGTAAGTTTTGCAAGCTCACTCGGAGCTCTTATGTCAGCTCTAGGAAGAGGTGTTATGTTGTAATTGATTTGATACTTTCTGATGCATGGGGACCTTGTCCTACTTCTTTTGTGATTAATTATCGTTGTTTTGTTGCTTTTATTGTTTACTTTTCTCGTGTTACCTGAATCTACTTGATGTGGCAGAAGAGTCGGGTGATTTCTTGCTTTAAAGATTTCTTTAAGGTGATTGCTTGAATAAACATTCATACATCACAGACATATAGTGTAGTTGCGAAAGCACTAAGATATGATAATGTGACAAAATATATTGACAAAACATTTGAGGATTACCTGCCAGCTTAAGGGATATAAGACCAAACCATATGCCCATACACACCTACACAAAATGGAGTAGTAGAGAGGAAAAATCGACATCTTCTAGAGGTAGCCCAGAGCATGAGGATGACAATGAATGTCCCACAACAGTTATGTGGGCAATTAGTCTGACAACCGCTCAATTGATTAACAAGATACCCTCAAAAGTGCTGGAGTGGAAGTCTCTTTGTTAGATGCTGAATGGAGATAATAGGGGATCCTTCTATTAAAGGTATTTGGATGTGTATGTTTTGAATGGAGATAATAGGGGATCCTTCTATTGAAGGTATTTGGATGTGTATGTTTTGTGAAAGGAAACAAATCATCTGTAAAGAATTTGGATTTCAGAGCTGTGGAATATGTGTTCTTGGGTTATTCTGTTACTCAGAAGGGTTATGTCTGCTAGAGCCCGATTGAGAAGAGACTCTTTGTGAGTATGAGTGTGTCATTCAGAGAGTTTGAACCATTCTACACTCTGGAGGTGAATTTACCTTTTGGTGACTCAACAGTCTTTGGAGTTACGAGGCAAAAGAGAGGGAGCAGTATTGGTGATGGAGTGGTGCAAGTGGGATCAATTCTATGTCCTGTGATGTAGGATGAATCAACCGAGGAGACGAAAATTGAGGAGATTGAATCCAGATGCGGTGGGATTCAGGCTGAAGGTGAGTTAAGGGTTTATACATGGAGGAAGAAGCAAACAGAGGGAATAGAGTCTATTGTGTCAATAAGTCTCTTGTCCTGATCTTTTCTAACTCTTGAGACACCTACATCATTCGCCTTTGATTCAAAACTCTCAGGTGATATTAGTCCTCCGTCCACTCCTACCCCCACAATATTAAGGAGGACCTCTTGCAGTAATACGAGACATCCTTCTGATTGTTTTGGGTGGAAACTTGACATTGCGAATTTTATTTCTTATTCTAACATCTCACCTTTGTTTGGAGCATTAATTGCATAATTGGACTATATCTATACTTAAGTGTTGGCAAGCTACTAAAGAGGATCCCAAGTGAAAAACGACAATGCATGAAGAGCTTGGAGCTCTTGAAAAAAAATCAAACATAGGAGATTGTACTACTATCTGCGGGGAAGAATACAATTGGATGCAAGTGGATCTTCATGCTAAAACAAACTATAAAAGGGAAGGTAAAGAGGTACAAAGCATAACTAGTGACAAAAGAGTACAATCAGAACTATGATATTGAATATGATGAAACCTTTGCACCAGTTGCTAGGATGAGTACGGTTTGAACACTGGCTCTCTAGTAGTGAACGATGGATGGAGACTCCGCCAACTGGATGCGAAGAATGCTTTTCTTCATGGGGAGCTATTGGAGGAGGTATATATGAAGATACCACCAATATTCAGTACATTCCAGAAAGTGGGCAAGATGTGCAGGCTCAGGAAGTCACAATATGACTTGAAACAGTCTTCTCGAGCCTGATTTGATAAGTTTAGAATGATGTTGGTTGGCATGAGATATCAACAAATCAATGCAAATCACAAGGTATTCTTTCAGCAACATAAATGTTGCACTACCATACTTGCTGTGTATGTGGATGACATAATTATCACTGGTAATGATGAGGTAGATATTGCTTAACTGAAGGAAAGACTAGGGAAACAATTTGAGGTAAATGATCTAGGACAACTTAGATACTTTATTGTGATTGATGTAGCCAACGAACCTGAACGAATGATCTTATTCCAGAGAAAGTATGTACTGGATCTTCTCACGGAGACAAATATGCGGGGGTGCAAGCCTGCAGTCTCTCTAATTGATCAGAAGATCAAGCTTGGTACAGAGGTAAGTGAATCAGTTGGTCGTGAGAGGTACCGGAGGCTAGTGGGCCACCTGCTCTATTTGTGCCACACTTGAACCGATCTCTTTTGCAGTATGTGTGGTGAGACGCTACATGCATGATCCACAAAATGGTCATATGGATGTCGTGTATCAGATTCTGAGGTATCTGAAAAGTGCACCAAGGAAATGGTTGATATCTAGGAAGATTGGGCATGTAGATATTGAGGGCTTTTATGATTCTGACTGGGCATGTTGTGCCGATGATAGACGATCCACATCATGATACTGCATGTATGTAGGTGGCCATGACATTAGGACTGTCAATAATTTCTATGAAATAGTCAGTTGTAGCAAGATCAACAACAGAGACATAATACAGGGTGCACGTAATTGCGAGTCGGGTCAGAGAGCAAACTTACAGTTTCTCCAATTGATCTGAAGGTCAAGCTTAGTACAGAGGCAAGTGAATCAGTTGATCGTGAGAGATTGGGCCGCCTGATCTATCTGTGTCACACTTGACTTGATATTTCTTTTTTCATGAGTGTGGTGAGTCGCTACATGCATGATTCAAGGAATGGTCATATGAGATCAAGTGTATCAGATTCTAAGGTATTTGAAGAGTGCATCAATGAAAGGGTTGATATTCAGGAAGAAATGACATATAAATACAGAGGGCTTTTGTGATTCTGGCTGGGCAAGTTGTGCTGATGACAGACGATCCACATCCGAATATTGCAAGTTTGTAGGTGGCAACTTGATCTCGTGGAAGAGCAAGAAACAATCAGTTGTAGCAAGATCAACAAAAGAGACAAAATACAGCGTAATACAGGGCCATGACATTAGGAGTTGCTGAGATGATGTGGTTAAAAGCCTCGTTGGTTGAACTCAAAGTAGATCAGGAAACTCAAATGAAATTGTGACATGACAACAAGTCGACAATCAACATTGCTAACAACCCGGTGCAACGTGATAGAACCAAACATGTGGAGATTGATCGGCTCTTCATTAAGAAAAAGCTGAATAATAGATTACTAGAGCTTTGTCATGTAGCAACTGGAGAGCAAGTGGTGGATCACCTCACCAAGGGTCTTAGCTGATTAGATTTGACTAGGTTATGTGACAAGATGGGCTTAGTGAATATCTTTAGCCTATCTTGAGGGGGAGTGTTGATATTTGTATCTAATGTCGAGTCATATTTGTAAATAAATGAAATACTAGGATTTATTTATAAATGTACCTTGTAAGGCTCTATATAAGCCCATCATGAATGAAATGAATGAGACTTTTTGTTCAATAATTTCTATGAAACAGTCAGTTGTAGCAAGATCAACAACAGAGGCATAATACGGGGCCATGGCATTAGGAGTTGCTGAGATGATGTGGTTGAAAGCCTTGTTGGTTGAACTCAAAGTAGATCAAGGAACTCAAATGAAGTTGTGGCGTGACAACAAGTCGGCAATCAACATTGCTAACAACCCGGCGCAACATGATAGAACCGAACATGTGGAGATTGATAGGTTCTTCATTAAGGAAAAGCTGAATAACGGAATACTGGAGCTTTGTCAAGTAGCAACTGGAGAGCAAGTGGTGGATCGCCTCACCAAGGGTCTTAGCTCATTAGATTTGACTGGGTTATGTGACAAGATGTGCTTAGTGAATATCTTTAGCTCATCTTGAGGGGGAGTGTCGAGATTTGTATCTAATGTCGGGTCATATTTGTAAATAGATGAAATACTAGGATTTATTTGTAAATGTACCTTGTAAGGCTCTATATATGCCCATCATGAATGAAATGAATGAGACTTTTTGTTCAATAATTTCTATGAAATAGTCAGCTGTAGCAAGATCAACAACAGAGACATAATACAGGGTCATGGCATTAAGAGATGCTGAGATGATGTGGTTGAAAACCTTGTTGGTTGAACTCAAAGTAGACTAGGGAACTCAAATGAAGTTGTGACGTGACAACAAATCGATAATCAACATTGTTAACAACCCGGTGCAACATGTTAGAACCAAACATGTGGAGATTGATAGGTTCTTCATTAAGAAAAAACTGAATAGTTGTCATGTAGCAACTGAAGAGCAAGTGGTGGATCGCCTCACCAAGGGACTTAGCTCATTAGATTTGTCTAGGTTATGTGACAAGATGGGCTTAGTCAATATTTTTAACCCATCTTGAGGGGGAGTGTTGAGATTCAATATCTTTAACCCATCTTGAGGGGGAGTGTTGAGATTTGTATCTAATGTTGGGTTATAAATAGATAAAGTATTGGGATTTATTTGTAAATGTACCTTGTAAGGCTCTATATAAGCCCATCATGAATGAAATGAATGAGACTTTATGTCAATAATATCTATAGATGGTTATAGCAATGCCAATTTTATAGTTTTCTAATGTTTTATGTATCTGGAATGGGATGCCTGTTCTTTTGGAATATTTATTTGTTAATGCAGGAGAATGAAACTTTTTTGGTATCTTGTTTTGATTCCCCAGGTGGAGGGAAATTATTTGCCTGATGTCATCTCTGAGATTCTTAATGCGAAGTGGGATCACGAAGCATCTAGATTTTGCTTGCCCCCACTAATGACACTTGTGAGTTTTTCAACCTGCTCTTTCTGTTCAATCAAGCGTAGCTGTTAAAAATTTGTAGATGTAACAAGTAATTAAAGTCAGACTTATATTAACTTAACTTGCAATGCTTAACATCATTTTTATAATTTCTAAATTACTCTGTTCAATCAAGTATTGTTAGTTCAAAACCTTTTTGCAACTAATAGTTGGTTTCAGATTTACTGTAGCTTAACGTATGATGCTTAACTTCAATTTTATAATTTTTACCATTATTTATATTCTTTCCTTTGGGTTTAACATGAATTCATTATACTGATTGTGATTTCCAATTTTAAAAATTTGAAGAATTGCTATCAATATTTTTTTTATTACGTTTTTGAGAATATATTTTTTAATTTTTATTAAGTTTGATGTGAAGGGTCTGAAGTTCATATTGCTCTTTCTGTGATTATACTGAAATTCTTTCAACTTTTCATTCATGCTTTTTGGCAGTTACTTGGTGAACATGGCAGTGGAGGATCGTCTACTCCATCAATGGTAGGTTCAGTTAAGCAATGGAAGAATTCTGATCCCAAAAATTCACTGGAAACATGGACACGACTGGCAAATGCTAATGCAAAGCTTGAAGCTCTGTTGAATTCATTAAACAAATATGCACGGGAACAATGGGCAATTTATAAACATATCATGGAGACGTGCTCAAGTTGTGCACATGGAAAGGTAGTTCTTTGCTCAGATATACCAGCATTTTTACTTTATTATACTCGATAGTTTATTTTTTATGCTTCTAACGTTTAGAAGGACCTTTTTTATTCTTTCTTGGGATCTATTACGGAGACAAAATATATGGAGTAATATATGAAAACAGATACCAAAGAAATGGTTCTATGAATTGCTTTTTTGATACGCTCGGAGCAGGTTTATATGAATTGCTTTTTTGATATGCCCGGAGCAGCTTTATACAACGACAATCACACAAAGGAAGCTAAATTCAACGAGAATTTCAATTATAACTAACCGCAAAATAGGAAAGACAATATAGGAAAATTCATAATTATTCCTGCAAAACAGAGATTTTATTCTCACGTTTTCCATTCCCCTTCAAGTTTGAGCTAAATACTTGTCATTTCGAGCTTATTGTCCTCTCTTTCAAAGCTCTATCTAGATATGTAATTTGCTGCTTGCAGGAGCATAGGTCATACAAATAATTTCTCCATCCATCTTTTCTTTGATAAAGTGTATGACGCAGGGCTCGGAGGAGGACCGGCTTGTCCTCAAGAGAGGGGGGCTGCCGCCTCCTCCTTCCCCTGCTTCCTTTCCTTCCTTCCCTTTTTCCTTCATTTCGCCTTTCTTTTTCTTCCTCCTCCTTCCTTCCTCCCTCACATTTCCTTTCTCTCCCCCTCAACCTTTCTTTCCTTCCCAAGCACTTTCCTATTTCAAATCCTTCCTAAACTCTGAAATAATGATTATATTTTATTCTCCCTTCTTATTTTAAATTCTTTCTTATTTTTCTTATTTTAAATCATTTCCTCATTTCTTATTTTAAAATCATTTTCTAAAATCTGAAAATCTAATTATATTTTATTTTCTTTTCTTATTTTAATTACCTAAAATAAATCTAGCCCCTTTATAAATATGGGATGATGTGCTTAGAGTTAGAGGTCTTATTTTTTATATATGAATTCAGGTTTTAGCCTTGGTATTTTGCTTTCAAGGGTTGTATCCAATGTCGAGGTAGTACTCCGGCTGTCCCTCATCCGAGTTGGTGATTGTCTCCAATAAGGCATTTATCTTACTATACTTAAGTTTTCTTGCTGCCATTTTCATATCCAACCACCACAGACCCCCTCTTCCATTGCTCCCAGACACATTCTTGCTCCTGTACAGCCACCACAGCCCCTCCAACTTGTTGTCCAGCCCTTCCCGGCAGCCCATTGGCACCCCTACAGCGGCTATCTTGCTATTCCAGCTTTTTTCATCGCTGCCAATGCTTCCTCGCTCGCTGTCCACCCTCTGAAAGTGCTAGCAAACCTTCCCAGTTGCTGTCCTACTTTTTCCACAGCAGCCCCCACCTCTTCATCCTTCACCATAGCCGCCGATCCAGTCTCTAACAACGTTCCTGCTTCTCTCCAACTGCAGTTCGACGTCGTTACTATTATCAACCTGTTGTCCTACTTCTTTCACAACAACTCCCACCTCTCTAGCCTTCACCGCAGCTGCCAATCCAGCCTCCCCTCACTGGACTCCCTCTTCATCAAACGTGTTGTCTTCTTTGTTGAGTCATTAGTTGTAATCCTTTGTTTTATGCTTTTGTTTTGTGTGTTGTCCTTCATTATTTCAAGTCTTCATTGTAATCTCGTTTTAAGCGAGTAGTAAAATTGTGTCTTGCGTCGTGGTTTGGGTTAACTCTGGTATTATTTGGTATCATGACTAACCCAACCCTAGTCCCATTCTAGGGTTTCTAGCATCCACCCCTACCCAGTCCACCACAACAAAATTTTTTCCTTCATTTATTTTTTTTCCTCTTCTTTCTTTGTTCCTTCTTTTCTTTCCTTCCACATATCCCAAATAGTCAACCATGCCGCCAAGGAGAAATATGCCCGAGCCTACCCTGGAAAAGATACGGCGAGAGCTCTTTCGCGTCCAACAAAGGTTTATGGATATTGAAGAGAAAATCCAGTGGGAGGTTACCCTTGACTGTGATCTGGAGGTTGAAGGAAAGAATGAGAAAATATAAAGATGAAGCAAGAAATAATGTCAGTTTCTACCAACTTACTACTGCCAAAATTTGCAGACTGTAGCATCCAAAGAGTAGAGACTGTATCACCAAACGACCTTCCCGTGTTGCTATCCAGTGAAATCAATCCACAAGTCTATCACAACCAAAAAAATGTTGTAAGTGCCACAAATTCAGATATGTGGAAGTAGAATGCACAACCAGAGAGTGATCTATTTCATGGAGCAGGGCGTTGTTGAAACCTGGTGTAAGGGCACCACAGACATTGAAGAGCAGCTCGAACGAGAATTTTTATCGATGACGTCTTTCCCCGGGGAACTCTCTTATTCGTGGATACATCTGACGTATTCTCTCCATGTAACCAAAAAGGAACATGCGACTTTTGATGAGATCGTGATTCCTACTCTCCTAGGGAATGAAAAACTTATTGTTGAGACATACAAATGTCACACAAATGCAAAGATGTTAGAATTTAAAATTTCAGTGGATGGTTTTAGTAACAACCAACTGATAGCATCATAGGCGGTTACACTTCCAACCCTCACCCCCAGGGTTCCACATGAAGAGATGAAAGACTAAGGTGAAACTCTTATTATTGGAACGAAACAGAAGATGTCAGTTTTCCAAAACTTTAATAGTCACAGGAAAGACCCAAAAAATAATTATAATCACCCATCAACCAAAGTCTTGCAAACCCTAAAACCTGTTGAGGCCCAACTTGTCATAGATGAGAAACATATGAGATATTTGTTCAGAATTTGGATCGGGAGAAGCTACGTTGATGTGACCTTCAACTTAGATTATGCCAAGGAAGAATAGATCAATAGGGAGGTATGCTTGTAGGTGGGAAAAGCTCCTCAGACCCTTTTGGAGCCAAAGCAGTTGTCATAGGAATCCAAGAACGGTCACAGAGAACCAGAAGCTTCGACAGATGAAGTCAAAGCTCCTCCAACCCCAGGGACTAACGCGGGGCTCGGGGGAGAACTGGCCGATCCTTAAGGAAGGGGGGCTGCCGCCCACTTCTTTCTCTTCTTCCTTTCGCCTTTCTTTTTTTTCCTTCTCCTTCCTCATCTTTCCTTTTTCTCCACCTCAACTTTTCTTCTTAAGCACTTTCCTATTTTAATTTCTTTCTAAAATCTGAAATCATGATTATATTTTATTCTCACTTCTTATTTTAAATCATTTCTTATTTTGAATCATTTCCTATTTTAAATCCTTTTTTAAAATTTGAAAATCTGATTATATTTTATTCTCTTTTCTTATTTTCATTACCTAAAACAAGTCTAACCTCTTTAAAAATATAGGATGATGCACTTAGAGTTAAGGCCCTTATTTTTGATATATGAATTTAGGTTTTTGCCTTGGTATTCTCTCTTTTTGGGTTGTATCCAATTTCCAGGTGGTGCTCTGGCTGCTCTTCGTCTTAGGCGGTGATCGTCTTCAAGGGTCCGAGTGATGCTCCAGCTGTAGCTCGACTCTGACGAGACATTTATCTTACCATACTTATGTTTCCCTACCGTCATCTCAGAATTCAGCCACTGCAACCCCCTCTTCCACTGCTCCCAACCACTTTCCTGCTCCCGTCCAGCCACCGCAGCCTCTCCAACTTGCTGTCCAGCCCCTTCAGGCCCTTCCTGGCAGCTCTCCGGCTGCCCTACAGAAGCTAACTTGCTGTCCAGGCCTTTCCCATCGCTGCCAGTGCTACTCCACTCGCTGTCCACCCTTCGAAAGTGCTGGCGAACCTTCCCATCTGCTGTCCTACTTCTTCCATAGGAGCCCCTACCTCTCCGGCCTGCACCGCAGCCGTCATTCCAGCCTCCAACGACGCTTATGCTTCTCTCTAGTTGGGTTTCAATGTCGTTATTCTTGTCAACTTGCTGTCGTACTTCTTCCACAGTAGCCCCCACCTCTCCAACCTTCACTAGCCGCCAATCCAGCCTCCCCTCGCCGGACTCCCTCGTCATCAAGCGTGTTGTCTTCTTTGTTGTGTCATTAGTTGTAATCTTTTGTTTTGTGTTTTTATTTTGTGTGTTGTCTTTCATTATTTCGAGTTTTCAATGTAACCTTGTTTTAAGTTAGTAGTAAAATTGTGTTTTGTATCTTTGTTTGGGTTTACTCCGGTATCAGTCATGGTTGATAAGACTATTAAATGCTAATTGCACATTTACTATCCCAAAATAACTTTTTTCTATGCGTTATTTGTAAGTTTAGTTATTCCATAATTCTTCAGCCAGATTAATTTACAATTTATGAGCGTGCTTTAAATCCATCTTTTGTACTGCTGTGGGCTTCAATAGATTGTTTCATGCTTCTCCAACTAAATAGGTTTCTCCAAACTTCAGTACAAATCCTAGTGCGGATCTGTCGTAAATAGATCCTGCTCATTCGACATCTGCAGAAGTCTCAGTAATTCTTTATTCATTTTTCTCAAAAAACAGATCTTTCCTAGTGTTGGTTTCAATTATTTTAAGATCCTGCAGATAGCCTTTTAACGTTCTTTAGATAGAGTAAAGTGCTAAAGTAGTCCCGACTATCCACATGAGACTGTTTTAGTCCGAGAGTTTATAGAAATGCTAAAATAGTCCCCAAACTTATTAAATTGGGGCTGAAATAATTCTCATAGAGGACTATTAGAACTCAATTTTAAAATATTCTGGGACTATTTTGACACTTTACTCTTAGATATAAAACGCTTTTGTTGACTTGATACAATGAATTGAGGCGATGTAAAATGAAATAAGGCAATCTCTATTCGTGTGTATGTTAAGTATATCAGTCTCCCAACCAATCTCTAGCATCTTCTTTTGTTTGTTGGAACTTCATCATTTGTTCTCTTATTCTTTAAATTTACCTCAATAGGTATATCAAGTAATTTACGCTTAAGGATAGCAATAAAAATTTAATATAATCCTGTTTGTATTTCGGTTGGAGTAATAGAATAACTTTCTTGTCTCTGGTCACTTTCATTTCTAGGAAAAACTAA